ATTGAACAAAGTAAGATACATTTTTTTAGATTATTTTGAATTAATTATTTTTAAAATTGAATTAATTTTTTAAATTTAAAAAATAAGAAATTGAATGATTATGAATTGAAAGAGAATGAATTAGAAGAGAATGAATCAGAAGAGGATGAATCAGAGAAGAATAAATCAAAGAAGAATAAATTAGAAGAGGATGAATCAGAGAAGAATGAATCAGAGAAGGATGAATTAGAGCAGGATGAATCAGAGAAGGATGAATTGGAGGATAAATTAGAGAAGGATGAATTAGAGGAGGATGAATTAGAGGAGGATGAATTAGAGAAGAATGAATTAGAGGAGGATGAATTGGAGGAGGATGAATTAGAGGAGGATAGATTAGAGGAGAATAAATTGAAGGAGGATGAATTGAAAGAGGATAAATTAGAGAAGAATGAATTAGAGGAGAATAAATCAGAAAGTAGTGAAAAATAAATTTTGAATCAGAAGAGAATTTTGATAATATTGAATTTAATGGTAATATTTTATTTAAAAAATATTTCTTTAAAAATTTTTATATTAATATTTTTATATTTTAGATTTATTAAATAAAATAATTAAAGAGCTTCAGCTTCTTTATATCAAAGATAAATATACAATTTCTGATCAAACATTTAATAAAATATTAGAAATTTTTAATATTTCTAATATTTCTCTTTATTAGCTTCGAAAAGTTTTAGGAAATTTGGTTTCACTAGAATCAAAGCTTATAGATATTTGTTGGAATTCTTGTTGTGTATTTACTGGACAAAATGCTAATCTTAATATATATTCTATATATAAAGAGTTATGATATACAACTAAAAAAAATCTAAAAAATCTCGAAAACAATTAGCATATTTTTCAATAACAGATAGCTTAAAATTACAATATAAAAAATCCATCATGAGCAAAAGATCTTAGATTTCGGTATGAATATATATCAAGAAAAGAATATACTTCTAAGAATAGCAAAATTTGTAATGTTTTTGATGGTAATAGATATAAAACTTTAGTAGCATCAGGCTTATTTTTAGATTATAGAGATGTTGCTTTAAT